TTTTCGCCGTTTGCGCCAAACGACTCATCATAGGGCTGTCTCTTATACACATCTAGATGTGTATAAGAGACAGCCGCTGTACTGATCAGGGTCATATCTGATCCGTCGGTACGAAAATCGGACCATCGTCCTTCGGGGGGGGCATCTGATAAAATTGGAACGATACAGAGAAGGGTAATTACTAATTACTAATTAACAAATGGGCCTTGCGCAAGGATGACACGCATAAATCGAGAAATGGTCCCAGAAAAATAAAAAAAATAAAAATAAACATTAAAAAATCGGACCATCATAAATTATCCAAAAAGTGTTATCTGTTCTTGATCAGTGTACTATCAGAGATCAGTGATCCATCGCACAATATCATTTAAAAAAAATAAAAAATAAAATAATAATAATAATAAAAAAAAGCTTATGATCGGAAGGCTCCCGAACTGCAGGCTCAGTACAACGCGGGCCAGGGGGCGGAAATCGTGAAATGAACGGGGTCGCGATTGCCGGCAGATGCGTCTTCACGAGAGTTCTGAACAATGAACATGGCGTCAGAATATGGCCTCCTACATTCATTTTCTGTGTGTGTTTTGTATACATGGCATTGAATTTCATGCATTTACACTGACGTGCGCACCGCCCGTTGTGTTTAAATTCTGTTCTCCTCCTCCTCCTCCTCCTCCTCCTCCTCCTCCTCCTCCTCCTGCTGCTGCTGCTCCTGCTGCTGCTGTATCATATCTGATTCTTTGCTTTGCAGTTCGTGTCCGTTCGCTGCAAGGCGGAGGAGGGCTCATCATCGTCATCGTCGGAGGCCATGACTCGACGGGGGCTGGTCGGTGCGGCAACCCTGGCCACTCTCTTGTCGATGACGTCAACACAGCGGGCGAACGCGGAGGATGAGCCTAAGAAGGGCTCGGCGGAGGCGAAGAAGAAGTACAGGAGCATCTGCGTTACCATGCCCACGGCCTCCGTGTGCCACAATTAAATTGGTCGTCAATAATTTTTAAAAATAATTTGAGTAAATTAAATGGGAGAGAAGCGTGGGCGATACACAGACACATGTCACATTGTCACATGATGGTTGCAGCATTGTTTGCATGTAATGTGTTTGGTGACTTGCCGTTGTTGCCGGTTGGGAAAAAAAAAAAAAAAAAAGGAATCATTGACAGGCGGATGCTTCTCCAGACTAGAACGAGCCCCACCTTTCTCGTTGTTTTTTTTTTTTCAAAGTAGGGGGGGTGCAAATGGGGCGGGCGGAGCAGGGAACTGCTAACCAGGTTGCTTGTTTTCAGGTCCGGTATGGTGCTCTGTGGTGCCGTGCAGTGCCGTGCAGTGCCGTTTCGTCCCCACCCCGGTCCCCTTGTGTTGTTCGCCCGTTACGTCCGAGTCTGGTCGTTGCCGTCCCTGTGTTGCCTCTCCCACGACTGTGCTATGCTACGCTCTGCTTGGTGCTATCCCATGTGGGGTTCTGTTTGCGCTGCTCTCTCTCTCTCTCTCTCTCTCTCTCTCTCTCTCTCTCTCTCTCTCTCTCTCTCTGTGTATAAAACTAGTTGGCATGTGCCTGGAATGCTTGTCCAAAGAATTACGGATACAGAGGGATGTGCACTGAAACTGGACGTCACCTCTCTCTCTCTCTCTCTCTCTCTCTCTCTCTCTCTCTCTCTCTCTCTCTCTCTCTCTCTCTCTC